AGCTGTGGGCTGGGATCCAGGACCTGGGCTGGGCTCCACCCAGTGGGTGATTTTGGTTGCCGTGAGCCTGGCTGAGATTTGAACCAGGCCATGTAGAGAAAGCAGACCTGAGCAGAGAGGCACTTGTATTTCCCTACGGTGTACGAGAGCACCCTGAACCTCTGGGACGGGAGCTCTGTGATAGGAGACCTGATGTAGCAAGCTGTGGGCTGGGATCCAGGACCTGGGCTGGGCTCCACCCAGTGGGTGATTTTGGTTGCCGTGAGCCTGGCTGAGATTTGAACCAGGCCATGTAGAGAAAGCAGACCTGAGCAGAGAGGCACTTGTATTTCCCTACGGTGTACGAGAGCACCCTGAACCTCTGGGACGGGAGCTCTGTGATAGGAGACCTGATGTAGCAAATGGAGATTGTTTTGGATCTCATGCCTACATGCGCCCACAGTAATTCCACTCCACTATCTAGCTCAGGTACCGCTAGGCTGACCCTTGGTGTATTTCATGCCTTACAGCAATGCTGTGTGGAAGTAGTTGTGAAATGTAGTTATCACAGAGCACACCCAGGCCTTACTGATGTCATTTGTGCCAGTGTCTGGAACATTGCTAGGGGTTTAAGCAGTTTTGCAGAGGAAATCTCACAGGTCAAGGCTCTGATGCAACCTTCACACCTACTCTCTGCTCCAGCATTTGCTGCACTATCTTGCTAACTTGCGTGTTGAGGATTTTGCCTTTCCCCCAACTAGCAAAGCAGCACATGCCCAAGGAACAAGACGTACTGCTCAGGAACTTTACTGCTTCACAGGGTAACAAGCTGGCAGTTTGGCCACGCAGTGCTGATACCTCATCTCACTTTCATGGCAGCGCCTTACCGCTAAGGCTTGTAGATCTTGGTTGTTTTAAAAGGGCACATGGCTACTTGTTTTCTTGGTCCAGAAACTTGCTTTAGGAGACACTCATCCCATTTCTGGAGCCCATCATGATGTTCTGTTTAGAATTTCATTGGGTGCATCTAGACTGGCACGTTTGTCCGCAAAAGCAGCTGCTTTTGCGCAAAAACTTGCCAGCTGTCTACACTGGCTGCTTGAATTTGTGCAAGAACCTTGACTTAGTAATGTACAAAATCAGTGCTTCTTGCGCAAATACTTTCCCGCTCAGGAAAAAGCCCTCTTGTACAAGAATACTTGTGCAAGACGGCCAGTGTAGACAGGGAAGAACACTTTTGTGCAAAAAAAGCCCTGATGGCTAAAATGGCGATCGGGGCTTTTTTGTGCAAAATCATGTCTAGACTGGCCACGGATGCTTTTGCGCAAAAGCACTTTTTGTGCAAAAGCATCCTTGCCAATCTAGATGTGCTTTTGCAGAAATACTTAACGGAAAAGTATTCTCCATTACTCAGAGTGGTTTAGTGCATTTGCAACACAGTCCATTCTTTTTAGAAAAGGGGGGCGTTAATTTGTGTGAGCTCCATGACAATACCTTCGTTTGTTCCAAAATGTTGGCAAAGATTTTAGGCATAACAAAGGATTTTATAGTTTATGAAGGTACTAATTGTGGTGGACCTAACCTCTATGAAATTATCTAGCTTCTCTTTAAACTCTGTTATAGTCCTAGCCTTCACAGCCTCCTCTGGCAAGGAGTTCCACAGGTTGACTACACGCTGTGTGAAGAAGAAATTTCTTTTATTAGTTTTAAAAAGCTATCCTCTTGCTCAACACAGCACCCGCAAGGTGCACCAGGAACAGTGTCACAGCTACAGAAATCCCTTTGAATAACCACCACCTGAAAGACTCGCTGCTGAGATTTTTTTTTAAAACAACGTTTGGCTGCAATTAGACTGAAGAGGATAAACTCCCCAAAGGGCTATGGGATTTGCTGTGCTTCAGGCTTAGTGCCATATAAAACAGTAAAAAGGTAGAGTTGCTTCAAAAAAAAATCTCTGAAATGATTCTCATCAGCAATAGCTTTAACTCTTCATACCTTTCTGTGGTACATAAGACAAGAGATGCACAGTTTTTGCATCATGTCGTTAGTACTGGTAGATGAGATGTATCCTTCTTGGTCAGTTTTCATGTTATCAATTTACTCAGTAAGTCACAAAGTGGGTTTCTACATTCAATTCAGATGAACACAAAGTCCCCCTGCCCCCAAAATCAATTTCATAAACTGGCAGTTTGCTTTAAAACGTCTTAGCACAAGTCAATGTGATCTCAACTTTCAAGGTCACCATAACTATCTGTCAGAACTAGATGAGATAATGATCCTGAGCACAAAACATGAAAGACTTAGATCCCAAGTTTAGCATTTAAAGACCCATTCACATTTCTAACCAGTTAGAACATTGGGGCTTTATTACCAAGACTGGAAAGGATGTAGCATTCCTGGCTACAAAGGAATCAAATCAATTTGAATTATGCATCCAAAAGGAGATATTTTATATGTTTTCTTAAAGGGACATAACAGGTCTTAATTTAATTTTACCATATACAAACTGTCTTTGTAAAATATGCAAAAATAAATTCAAAATCAAAGCACTTTACAAGAACCTCGATGGCTGTTAGCGTATTATGGTTAGAAGAGAGGAGACCAGAGTAAGGTCAGTTTTAGACGGATACAGGACTTTTAAGTTCCCATCTGCATCCACAACCCGAACTTGCTCCACGGTTAATGGAGACTGCTCCTGCTCTGCATTTTGGCTGGGGTTTGCATTCACTGGTTCAGAAGTCATGTCAGATTCACCATCAGAGACGGATTCTTCTTCCTTATTCTCTAACGTGAATTTGTTGAGTTCTGCCATTTTCTGAGCAGGAAACAAAAAGGAAGCAAAGATTTCAATGCACAGTATGAACGCTGTGGATGGGCTATGAACTGCTTAAAGAGTTTCCAATAAGCAGACGAGAGCTTTACACACTACTGTGGGACTTAAGTATCAGAGGGGTAGCCGTGTTAGTCTGAATCTGCAAAAGCGACGAGAAGTCCTGTGGCACCTTATAGACTAACTGAAGTGTAGGAGCATAAGCTTTCGTGGGCAAAGACCCACTTCGTGCATCTGACGAAGTGGGTCTTTGCCCACGAAAGCTTATGCTCCTACACTTCAGTTAGTCTATAAGGTGCCACAGGACTTCTCGTCGCTTTTGCAGATTCAGACTAGGGACTGACAGCAGAAATGGAAACCGTCAGTAATCATTTTAGCTTTTTTTTTTTTTTTTTTTCAAATAAGAAGCTTACAGCTCAATAGATAGGACAGTGAATTCTGTCTGAAATCCTGATTTCCTCCCGCTAGCCTTGTCCCTGCTTCTATACAAGCAGGTTTACAAACCAAGCTTCGAACACCAGCACTTTGATCCTAATGCAAAGAACTTGCTCCAGTGTCACTACTAAGGGCTCTGCTTTCAACATATTTTAAGTTGCCCTCATTCCTGTCCTATATCAACTATGCAAGTGTCAGAACATGCTAATGACAATTAATGAATGAGGAGTAGAAGGAGCAGAATCGGGGTGAGCATGCAAGAGTTTGTCTTTCCAGTGCTGGAGGAAAACATCCAGCCAGCTCGGACTGTGTGACCTGCACATGAACAAAAGCAATGACTCTGCCGTGATGAGTTGCAGAGGTCTGTGGGGAAACCCCTGAAAATGAGGCTGACAAATATTTGGCCAGAGAGACCACTTGCGGCCACTGGCGAAAGATCTGCTCCGTCTGCCACGCTACTCTGAAGACCGGGGTGTTGATTTGTGTTGGCGATGCAAATCTCACAAAGAGCAGTATTGCTACTTGGCTCAATGGGCCCACCTGTGTCTGTTCACTTCGAACATCATCGCTCTGTCATCTGAGAGAACTAAAACGTGGGAGTTTTTCCATGAAGAGTTTATGGAAAAAAAGTTCTTGTCCTCCTAAGTTGGCTTTATGAGATTACAAATTTGGTTGATAAAGGCAATATGTTGACACAATATAATTAGACTTCTGTAAGTCATTTGACTCATGACATTTTGATTAAAAATTAGAATGATATAAAATCACGGCACACATCAAATGGATTAAAAACAAGGCTAACTGTCAAGTATCAAAATGTAACAATAGGGAACAGTCATCGAGCGGCCTGTTGCCAGAAGGGTACTGCAGCAATCCGTTCTTGGGGATCGCTGTTAACGTTTTTAATCGATGATCTGGAAGAAACTATACAACCACTAGCAACATTTGCAGTTGACACAAAATTGGAGGGAGGTTAAACTATGAAGAGGACGGGTCACGGATTCATAGTGATCTGCAGGGCTCGACAAATACGCTTGTCTGCTCGCCTGTGGCGAGTACACTGCAGGCGGTTGCCCCGTTCACCGGTAGTCCGCGCATGCACAGTGTGGGTCTTGCGCATGCGGGGCTTGCGAGTGGTTTTTGCTGCGATTTTCGAGCCCTGGTGATCCGGATCACTTGGTAAACTGGGTAGAAGCAAACACTATCTGCTTTGACAGACCTAACTGTACGTGTGTAACATCTAGATACACTCAACTGTCCTGGGAATCAGAGACTCTGAAAAACATCTGGGGATCGCAGTGGATGGCCAACTGAACATGAGCTCCCAGAGGAATTCTGTGGCCAAAAAAAAGCTAATGAGATCCTAGGATGCACACAGAGGGGCATCTTACGTAGGCATGACCACTGCAGGAATTCTGCGTCCCGGTCTGCTGAGGGTTCCAAGAAGGGCTGCGAGAATGCCGAAAGGATCAGAAACCCTGCCTTATAGTGCCTGACTCAGAGCTGGGTCTGTGTAACTTAACAACAAGATGGTTGAAGGGTGAGCTGATTACGGTCAAAGTATCTAAATGAGAACAAATACTTAATAATGGACTCTTCAACCAAGCAGAACTAGGTTTAATACAACCCAAAGGCCAGAAGTTGAAGCTAAATTCAGACTGGAACTAAGGTGCACACGTTTCCCAGTGCGAGTAATTCCCTTGGGAAGCTTTCCAAGGGAAGCAGATTCTCCATCACTGACAATTTTTAAAATCAAGTTTGGATGTTTTTTCAGAAATCTGCCTGTGGGCTATTGTAGGGAAGTTGTGCAGTGCAGGGCTCAGGTTGGACTCTCACAATGGTACCCTCCAGGCTTGGAGCCTAGCAATCTCTGCTGGGCGTGCATTTCCAACGGGCAGTAATGCATCTCACTTCCTGATAAAGAAGCAGCATCATAACATGCAGCAAAGGACCAATAAGAAACGTTCAGGGTAACAGGCAAGTAAAGATGATAAATAAAGGTAGAGAAATTAAGCTCCATGTACCGCTCTGTTCCAACACGGCTCTCTGATCCAGAGGCACACACAAAGAAGATAGTGTGAATACTCCCTTGAATACTTACTAGAATGAGGGTGTCCATGATGTCTTTGCATATCTGGAGGCTGGTGCCGCTCGTCACTTCCAGAAAGAGATCGCTAGTGGTTTTTCTAATCTGGAAAACATTGCAGATGTACTCAGAAAAGGGAAGGCTGAATTGTAATGCAGTGAAATAGAAACGAGTGTGTACAGCTCCATGGTCACATGGCTGCATTTGTTATTCTAATACCACCTCAGCTGAAAAATATCCAAGTGCATAAGGAACCATACTAAGGATGTAAAAATGTCGATTACCTAATCGAATAGTCGATGGGATTTCCACTGACTCTTCGATTAGTCGATAAGGACCAGTGCGGTGTTCCGCCTTTGAAAAGTACAAGAACCCAGCAGTGGCTCTTGTGCGCTTCAAAGACTGACACGCCGGGTGGAGCCCGGGGCCAGCGGGGAGTCCCCCAGTCACCCCAGGCTCCATGCAGGCGTTTCCTGCTGGGGCTCTTGTACATTTCAAAGCAGAAGCGCCCGCATGGAGTCCAAGGTCAACAGACTCCCGCTGGCCCCGTGCTCCATGCAGTGTTTCAATCTTTGAAATGTACAAGAGTCCCAGTGGAGACTCGTACATTTCCAAGTTGGAATTCTGCTGCTGCGCCCCTGATCCCTTCCCACAGAGCTGGGGGGAAATCGGCTTTTAAGCCGGCTCCCCCCAGCATTGTCTCCTGCTCCCCCACTCTTGCTGCCTCTGATAGGGTATGTCTACACTACCCTCCTAGTTCAAACTAGGAGGGTAATGTAGGCATACCGCACTTGCAATCTTTCTGATAGAGGCAGCAAGGGGGGTAAGCGACTAGTTGCACAGTCCTAACTACACGTGAATCCCACTTAAAAACTGCATGTTTGCACTTATCTGGGCAGCTCAGGAACCAGCAGCCTCAGGCCAACACACAAGTGACTTACTACGCAGCATGGTCTCAGCCCGAAGGATGCTACCCAAAAATTGGACAGCCACATTTTGCAAAGGCCACGTCTGCACTAAGGGTGAGGGTGTGAGTCCCTTGTTTGTGAGCACAAACTGGGGCTAGCTGTATAAAAGGCAGTCCACCCACTACAGCATGGGCAGCCCTGCCGAGTACACACCCACTAGTTTTAGGGGGGAGGGATACCCGGCCTGGCTTAGCTGACACCATTACCTGCACTAGCAGCCTCTGCCGCCATTACCTGCACTGGGAGGGTTACAGAATTATACTCACGCTAGTTCCACGATGGCTAGTGCAAGTACATGTACATGATCAGGGGATTCATATCCCCAGCTCAGAGTAGATGGAGTCAAGCCATCGAGTGGGAAGCCAGGGGAGGGAGTGGTCGGGTACTGCCCCTAGGATGCTCTGGGGTGGGGCTGGAAAAGGGGCCTGCAGCAGGAGAGGCAGGTTGTAGAGCTTGCCCCAGACCCATCCCATCCCAGTGACTCCTATGGCTCAGTCCTGCAGGACTGGCTGGGCTCCGTTCCCCATTCCAGGTCACAGCAGGTAGCAACACTCAGATTGGCCCAGTCACTCCTCCAGTAGGACGACAGGCTGCCGGCCAGGAGAGTTTGAGTAGCAGCTCCCCTGCAACCCCAGAACTCACAACACCCGGAACGGGAGCCTGCCTCAGCCAGCCCCCCAGGATAGAAACCTCTGTTTTGACGAGCACTGTGCACTTTTTAGGACTTATTACACTAGTGTGCTTCATCAGCTAGGTACGAAATACTAAATATTTAGTAAGCCAGATTTTTTGTAGTTAAGCGATTCTCTGGGTCACCATTGGCCTTCAAGTTTCACAAATAGCTCCTGAGCCCAACAGGATTGAGAAGCGCTGCTAAATAGCTGGACACAGTTTGGACATTTAGCCTGAAACATACACAGTTTGAATTTAATTCATATTTTAAAATCTAGTGCTTTTAGCACAAACATTAGACCTTGACCGTTCAGATTCTAAACTCAGTCATGAATTTCACTGGAGAACTAAACATCTGGAGTACTTATTCCACAACGACTTAATGTATTTCCTAAAAAGCCGAGGAAGGGAGTGATTTAGTTTTGAAGCCTGGCCTATTTCCCACTATCACGGAGACTCAGAGAAGTAGATTGAAACTTCTGTACCTTTGTTCTCTCACTGTTCGTGATTGGTGGGAAAGAAATCACAACACCCTCAGCATCTACTAGACAAGGATAGTTCTCTTTCCCATCCAGTAATTGAAGGTACCTAAGAAGAAAAAAGTGAAGATAATGGAAAGAGAACAATCAATCAACAATAAATACAACAGAGTGGGAAAACGAAGGTAACGAGTTCCTGATTCAATACACAGAAACCACAACTACAGCATCACATTAACAATTGTACGGTCGCACTGAGGGCGAGTAATGAAGCAATATCATGAAATACTTAAGGTAATAATCCAATTGCTCATGTGTAAGCAAACTTGTTCTTAATACTTTTTACTGCTCCCAGTGCTCAAAATTCAGAGCTTGTTTTACTGACACTCCAAGCTCATATGCTCAAATTTAAGTTTCATTACCAGTCTCCACCACTTACACAAATACGCAATCCCCACTTTGTTTACCTGGTCAGATTCCCTGACACATACGACAATCTCACACATATGAAATGATCACAATACAAACAGAATGGAAGGCTGATGTGTCACTTTCCTTCAAATTTGGTTTCAGCCCCTTACAAGTTGTTCCATAGACATAATATTAGACATTTCACATAAGCAAACTTATTCGGCCTACGTTTATATTCAGTCCCTCCCACCTCCCCCAAACCTTTCTTTTCTCCTCTAGATTTTCAGGTGCTCATGTGTGCCCAGCTAGGATTAGATGTTGCCTTTCATAACTAAGCACAAAGGGCATATCCAACGTTCTTCACAGTTACAAGATTGTTGCTTTTCATGTGATCTTAAACTGGCCAAAATGCATCTGATCAATCTGAAAAGAGATGTGAATTACTACACTGACTTGTGCAATCCGGAAACATTCTGACGCTTCTTCTGTTTTCTTTGTTCCTCAGCCTCTAACTGCAACTGACGGACAAGATCCTTTGCCTTGATCTCCTTCCGACCCAATGGTGTTACCTGTATCAGAGAGAAAGCAAAGACTTAAAGGCAAAGAGTCATTCATTGACACCATGACTATCTGGCTGGTTCATCAGAGCTAAGGGATAAAAAAAAAAAAAAAAAAATTGGGAGATTTAATTAATACTTAATTGAAAGTTTCTCATTACTAATTCTTCCATTTCAATTACTGCTTGGAACATAGAAAATGGGATTTTATGAAACATTTGTGATGCTTCATTCCCTTTAAACACATCCTTGATACTCGGGCATGTTTAGGCTCCCTGCGAGGGTCCTTGATGGTGCTACCGCACCAAATGGAAATTCCTGTGATTTATGGTAGATTCTGGAGTTTTCAAAATGTTTATATTAGGGGCTGAGTGAATAGGAGACATTCAAGAATAAAAAGTTTGACCTCAGAACCATGATTCGCCCAAGGACTCTCCAGTGCTTTGGAATGTTTTAGAAGAAAAAACAGTAGTTTTAGTATTACCTCTTATGCCCTACCAGCCTAGTGTGTGATGTGTGCATACCACAGATTTACTTTACAACAGATTAACCTCTATAGCTCTTTGCAGAGTTTAGAAAATGATCCTCACCCGAACTGGTGCTGCTGAAATCTCTTCTGGCTGTCCCATGTTTTATCACAGGTGGCTGCCACTATGAGTTCAAGAAGTGATTATGATCCCTGACTATTTGATCAGCTCTGCAATTTGCATTCTCATTGGTGCTACAGACGGTGGACTGGAGCAAAGCAAGACACAGCAGTAGCATGGAAATCAGGGTAGAAAAATAAAATAAAAAAAACTTTCAAAAAACTGAAAAAGATACCTTAACAGTAGTGCAATTAAAACACAACCAGCCTGATTTATAATCCAGCATAAATATTTATCTAAGCAATGGGCAAAATTTAAAACTCATTTTACAAAGCCTTAACATGATTCATAACTGTTATATTTTTTAAGTCAAGCAACTCAAATCATGACTTCATGATTTCGATGCCTTTATTTTAACCACTCTATGCTGGAAATCCTCCTGCACAGTAGGGAGGGAGAAGCTATGGAGGGGATCTGTGTCCAGCTGGGGGAAAATATACTATGGTTTATGTCTAATAAACAAATAACCCCTGCTTCACAACTTTGCCCCATCTCCTTTAGAAAGAAAGAAAAAGGGTTAGTCCATCATTCTGCTGTTGTATATATTCATGGCATGAGAAGGACATGGTTGTTAGGGACACCTCAAAGTCTATTCCATAGTGTGGTCAGCAATGAATGGTAACGGGCAGAAAAAAAATGAAGCACTGGATCACTCTCAAGAAGCACCCTACAACTTGGATTCTGGCCCCCTTTGAATCATGAGACTGTGGACTATTGAATTTGAAGTTCCAACAAAACCTTTCACCTGTGACTCAAGGAAATAGTTGGCTCAAAGCTTCCAGCAATGAAAGAAGAGTTCATGAGCTTACTGTATTGTGTGACTAGTCACACAAAATAACTGGTTGTAAACACACTTGCTCAACTGGCAAACAGAATCACCTCACTGGATGTCAACTTCCTGCAGAGAGGCAACTTTTCAATGGCAGGTAGTGCATATGAAGTCCAGGATTTATTTGTGGTTCAAGGTTGTGAGGTCTCAGCCAAAGTCCACACCTGCCACATTTTTTCTAATATCAGTTATATATGCAAGACAAGTACCTGGATTGTACTGCTGGCTCTTATGGTTTGCTATGAGTTAAATACACTCTGCCCCTGGTGAGCACGCAGCTGCTCCAGCCCCTACTGGTTAACTGGAACCAGAAAAGGTGAGGCTTACCAGTTAGCCATTCATATCCCTCGTGCGCAGAGAGGATAAATGAATGCCACAAAAAACTCAGAACTGCTCTCAAATGCCGCATTATTCAGATTTTCCTATTTAAATTGTCCAATTAGATCAACAATTAAAGTGAATGACTTACTCTTACAATGGCAAGAGACAAAGGGGCTTCCTGATCAACATGTTAAACTAAGTAACTATGAAAGAAACTATGTAAGTTTCATATCAAGGTTAGTGTAAGCGTTTGGTGTACTAACGAGCTGTAAATAATTACGTTACTTGGGGGTGTGGAAATAAGAACTACCAGAGAGAGAAAAGTGGTGAACAGAGCCTGAATTTGGGTCAGTTGATTACCTTATAGACTGCTGCCAAATACTCCATGTAGTCATGAATGAATACCAGCTACGCTACACAGTACTCCGGTTGTAGCTTCACATTTTATGGACTTCCACTGAACATTAACTTGGCAACAGCTCAACACAGAGGAGAGGTCTAGCAGTGAAACTATTAACAGGGAAACCTTAAGACCTCTGTCACCCTAAGCAAATGTGCATGGCACGCAAGATCCAAATACTAGTTATGGAGAGAAAGATTTTGGATTGCTTTAGCTGTTTGAATTGTGAAGGTATTCAGCTGGTGATAAGGTTCTATAACTAATAGTAAATGAGATCAACATGCACTTTCTGAAGGACATTTCAACAGTGAGGAGTTCTCTGAGCTGGATTTAGATAGAGACTGTTACAATGGTGGCACACTGTCTGAACTTAACCTCCTGGTGCCTGTTAAGTTTTCTCCTCTCTTCAAAATGCAAAATAACATCTTCCCATTTCCGTAGCATTGCAAAATGTGATAAAGCAAGAGGGGAAAAGGTTATGTATCCTACCTTTAATTCGCTAGGTGGCTGAGCATCATACAGCAGGGGCCCCTTGATGAGCTGCAAGTCATGTGTGGCAATGGTTGCTGCTGTGCGTCTCTCACAAATGTCTTCATGCAGTTTGATCTAACGAAATTTGCAGGACACAGAAATTTGCCTTAATAAACTAGTCCCTCAGTGTCAACACGTTTCACCTCCGTTAATTTTGTCTTCTCGTTTGACAAGACTGGCTCCCCGCTGTTGGATGGGGCTGAAAGCAACAGCTCTCTTTCTGCAGCACCACTGTCCACGGAGCACTGGAAAAAATGCTCATTAACTCTCTGATTATCATTAAGCTTAGCAGCATAATTCGATAGATGTTGGTAAATATTTCCACTGACACATTGAAATAGATGAAAAAAAGACGGATTAGGAATACAGCAGGAGAGTAGTCTCCCTGCCTTGTGCTGACAAGGACTGGGTGTCACCAGCGCTGTCTGCAGCCCACGGTCAGGCCATGTTCTCACCAGCTGGGGGGTCACTGCTCTGCTATCCTAGGATGACACTCTTACTCGCCTCATGTGCCTGCAGCAATCCAATGTCACCAGCCCAGAGAGCCCTCTTCAGCTCCGCTGTCACAGCACCACCAGAAGCCATCCCTGTGCAGGAACTGTTCAGCATCAACCTGAGGCCATGGGCTCCGTTAGGCCAAGACCAGTCTTACTTGCACCTTTGGTCCCTTTGGCCATGCACAGAGTCCCCTGGATTCCTGCTATAAGTGCTGCCCTAACTGCAAACATGGCTTAATTTCCAGCAACTGTAAAAAATTCCAGCTACGTCTATACTAGGGATGTTAAATTTAATCAATTAATCGATTAGTTGAAGGATTTTCCATTGACTAGTCAATAAGAAGGGGAGCCAGTGCAGGGTACCCCTGCTGCAGCTCTGCCTTTTAAATGTATTAAGAGCCTGTTGGCTCTTAATACATTTATAAGGCTGGCACACAGCAGGGGGGACCCTGCGCAAGCCAGAAATCAGCTCTCTCAGCCAAGGTCAATTACTTGGGTCCATGCTATTGGGCTATATAGAGCAGCATAGACACTTCTATCTGGGCTGGAACATGGGCTTTGAAACTTAGTGACGGGGGTACATCTCAAAGACAGGGCTCCAGCCTCAGGAAGAACAGCTACACAGCTATTTTTATCCCCATAATGTGAGCCTGTGTCATCTCAGATATCCCGAGATGGGTGGGTTTCAGGGTGGGGTCAGGAGTAGTGTAGCCATTTAAACAAAAAAAAAAAAAAAAGATTGTTGAAATTACAGAAAAAAATTGATCTCTGCCACACCTAATTGTAGACAGAAGAAAGGAGTTCAGATCGTTTTGCTGGTTCCATAAAAACGGAGACTTAAAAAAACCAATCAGGGAACAGATAAATTGCTCCTATTTAGACATTTTATATACACATTACACAAATAAGCAAAAGCAAACTTCCCCCCACCTCACAAGATTAAGAGAAGTGACGTTTTGCCCCACATCGCTTGTTTTTCTTCCAAAATGACTTCCTCGATCCTTCTCTCACTCTCCACCCTTAAATCCCATACTCATTTACTACACCAATTAGGAAACTGTCAAAGATGCTTATCATCGTATATATGTAAAAGCTAGGAAACCTGTGAAAAGAAACAGATTCCATCTCAACCAAGTGTTTTGGGAAAATACTCCCCCGAAGCCTGCAACTTTCAAAATATTGTGTGTGGCAGTTGCATTTAAAGATTGAGCATGTGTGTCATGTATGACTATATGGGACCAAAAATAGGCACTTACTTGAATCAATGGGATAGATCACTCATTCACCACTTTTTCTTAGGAAATGAGTAGCATGGCAAAAGTCTTTTTCTTTAATGGAGTTTATACCCAGGAACTAACTGTTCCCAATTTGGCTCATTTGGAATAGGAGCAAAATGATCACTAGGGATGTTAAAAAGTATTTGTGTAAACGGTGTAACTGCTGATGTTTTCAGTGGCTGCACATTTACAGGGTGTGTGCGCATAGGCGCGTGTGCTCAGAACACACCAGTGTGTGTAGGGAGCCGGCTTGGAAGTACACAATGAAAATATATTCAAAATTTTTTTAACTTAAACCTTCAATAATTACCTGTGCAGAAAGAAATCTCTTCAAGGCATTTCCTTGCTTCAAATTCATTCCCTTCACCACACAACAAACAATGTATGGCCGGACTTCTTTGATATTTGGACTAACTTTAACTACGAGTGGAGCTGGATTTTCAGCAATGTGCAGAATCTTGATCATCAGTTTATTCACCTCTTCCAGCATGTCCTGTTCCCCATCTCCACTATCTTTTTTCTGGCGTTTATCCCTCTTTTTTTTCCTAATCTCCTCTTTATCAGAGTTATCTGTTTTCCCTTTTCCTTTGCCGCTTCCTCGGCCTCCAACCCGCAAGTACTCCAGAATGGATTTTGTCTGGCAGCTATTGACCATTTTCTCCAGCCGCTTGTCTTTCAGTTTGTTCCCTCTTAAGTTGATCTCCTTTAACTTAGGGCAGTCAGCAAGCTCAACAGGGATTTCTGATAACTCGTTATTGGAAACATCCAGGATCTGAAGGAGGAAAAACATTTACAAAGTTAGACTGGATGCTTCTAAAAGGCTTAGCCTTAGCTCAGCCTTGGCATGCGGTTTGCTCAGAAGGCAGCTAGACACCAGAGGGTAAGGCAAGATTTCGCATTACATATCTCCATTCAGAGATTCCATAAGTCAAAAATGAAAGTGCTTGAATTTAAATTTGTTACTTTTTCTCCCCCAAAAGAAAAGATCATTTTTCTTAGCACTACAGCCAAGGTGTGTCATCCTATCAATGCACATAGTACTGAGTTCAGCCAGCTCTTTAGTACACTTATCACTTTTAGACATTGTACTTTAACAGAATCCATCCAACCAACCAACCTGTTCTCATGGAAGTCCAATCATAAAATCAAGAAAATAAAAACCTAAGAATGTAACAATAGACATACTGGGTCAGATCAAAGGTCCATCTAGCTTAGTATCCTGTCCTCTGACAGCAGCCAGTGCCAGGTGACTCAGAGGGAGGGAACACAACACACAATCATCAAGTGATCCCCACTAACGCCAATAATTCATGCAATATTTAAATTTTCTTAAAGCCCCAGTATCCAGAATCAATTGCGCGAGACGCCACTCATCTTCCACCAAAGACATTTCTAGCCCTCACTGTTGTGGAGAAAAACTTGACATCAGAAGCAAACACATTCTAAAGGCCCAGAAACTAGAAGGCAAACACAATGAACCCCAAATGTGTGTATTTGTTAAAACCACGTCGCTTTTAAGTGCTTAACTCCTCCTATTTGTATAGTGGGGTCGGCTAAACTGTGATCCTCCCTTTCCACAGGGCTCCAGCACCAACCCCATGCCAACCTCCAGGAAACCACCTCCACTCTACCGTGGGGTCCCAGCTCCTCAACCCAGCACGTGGGGACCCAACCTCCCCCAGGGCTACCAGGCCTCTTTCCCAGCTCCCTTCTCCCCTCGCTCGCCCTCTAACCTTGAGAGCCGGCAGGCTGGCGATGGCTGAGCCCAGCTCCTGCAGCCCGTTGTCGGCGGCCTCCAGCTGGCTGAGCAGCGGGAGGAGGCCGGAGGCGCCGGGGGGCAGGAGGCCGCCGGGCAGGACACTCAGGCGGTTCCCGGAGAGCAGCAGGGTCTGGAGCTGGGGGGCGGAGCGGGCCAGGGCCCG